TTGATTTTGGATCCAAGTAAGAATAAATCCTTGACAAGTCAATCTTTTCTCCATCTATCATGATGTAAGGATTTTTGTTTTCTTGATACTGAGATGTAATCCATATTGAAGACAACAGTCTTACATCTTCTGCATCAAGTGCTTCAAGTCCTTGTCCCTTTCAGTAAGCAAGGTTGAGTAATCTGCATAACAGGTTGTTGATAAGTTTCCTCTACTCCTGATGCTACATTCTTTTTCATAAAGTTCAGTTTCTCAAATGATCTGCTCAGCATACATACTGAATAGGAGTAGAGAAAGGATATAATTCTGATGTACACCTTTCTAGATTTTAAGTCATGCAGTGTTCCCTTGCTGTTTGGACAACAGCTTTTTAGATACGTTTCATATGAGCACTCAAGCATTCTGGGATTCCCATTTTTCTCAATGTCAGTCATAATTTGTTACGATCCACACAGTTAAATGTCTCTGCACAGTCAATAAGATACAAATACATATTCTTCTCGTATTCTCTACTTTCAGCCAAGGCATTAACAATGTAGGAAATAACTTTACCAACGGACAGAAATTCAGAAAAATATTTTCATTCCCAAAGAATATTAAAAAAGTGCCAATATAATAAGGTCATAGTTCAATGCCATTAACTGAACATTTCCTACATAGTAGATATGTATGCTAGACATTTGGCAAGCATGCGAGGAATTAAAGGTTGATCTAATTTCCACAACCATTCTCATAACTTATTTCCACTTTCCAGATGAAGAAATCAAGGTAAAGCAAGGTTAAGTAGCTTTCCCAAGTCCACAGTATTTATAAATGGCAGAGCCAGGGCTCAAATCCAGGTCTATCCAATAGCAGGTCATCTCCCCTGTACTGTCACCCATTCAGCAGTTATGGATAAACGGGAAATAAGGCAAGAGGCCTCACCTGCTTGAACTGTAGCTTTGAATATAAACACTGAACTAGGACAGAAAAAATAGGCAGTGACCTATAATTCTTTTTTAAAAATTTATTTATTTTTTATTTCAATGAACATCTACAGAGATTTTGGAATTCCATTCATTCATTGTTGCACCCTTCTCCCCGCCCACAGCCCCTCCCCCTCACTCCCTTTTGCTTCTCTCCTTCAAAAGCAAAAGCAAAACTCCCTCATTGGTATGCAATCCCCCCCTATAATTCTTTTAATAGTTCCCTGTCCATTGTTCTGTGGAGATTCAGCACCCTTTTGACACTCTTCTCCCCAAAAGGACAGGACAAGTTACAGATTGTTGTTATGTGTCATCGAGTCGTTTGCAACTCACAGCGACCCTATGTACAACAGACCTAGACGCCGCTCTATCCTGTGCCGACCTCGCCATCTCAAACACACTCATTCCCACCACTCCACTCACAGAATCGATCCATCTCATCGAGGGTCTTCCTCTCCTTCGCCGCCCCTTCACTCTCCCAAACATGATGTCCCTCTCCAAGGACCAGTCCCTCCTTGCAACATGACCAAAGTATGTCAGA